ACACAGTCGACCGTGGTTCAAGTCCTGGATCCGGTGGCTTAAAAATCACATTGGGTGCACGTGTACGCATGCCCAAAACCTCAGAGGAGATTGGAGAAGGGACCGTAATGTGGCCATCTCCCTTGGGGATGGTCATTTCTCACTTTTTGTCTCTGTGTCTCTCTGTGTGGTCATTTCTCACTTTTTGTCTCTGTGTCTCTCTGTCTCCGAGGTATGTGCCTTATAGCAAAAATCTCTCTTTAAAGAAGTATACACAGGGAATTAGCAGTTTTTTTTTTGCTATGTCGCTGGACTCCCACGTAGTCGACCGCAATTCGAGTCCCAGACCCGGTGGCTTCAACTCACACCAGGCACATGTGTATGTGTGTCCAAGATCCTGAGAGGAGAATGAACTGCAGTGTGGTCATCCCCCCCCGGGGGGTGATTTCTCGCTTTCTGTCTTTCTGGAAAGCACATGGGTCCTATAACAACAACAACAACAACAATAGATTTCTCCTCAAAACAGTTCGAGATGAGCAAATAAGTAAATATTTCTTCTCACTGTCCCCATCTTTAAGGAGAGCCTCACCGCTATCAAATGGCCACCACTGACTGAGGAGGGCCGGGGTCAATCAGGGCGGGCTCCCAGTTTGCGCTTCTCTTGGCTAAAAGGATGGCGTAATGGATCGACCAAACCATGACTTCACGGCAGCTCCAGGAACTGCGGCGCCAGCCTGTCTCTGGGAGGACAGGCAAGGGACCAACACATTCTCTCATGACACACACACGACAGGCTGGAACCTTCTGGTGTCACTGCCACTCCGTGGTGGGAAGGCAATGGACTCCAGGGGGGAAAAAAGTCCCTTCTAAGAATAACGTGTCACTGTGAGCACACTGGCAGCTGCTCAGAAGCTGGGACTTGACCTGTCCTTCCACGTGTCCAGGGCTGAAGGTCAACCTATTTACAGTGTGGGTCCTTGTGCCCAGAGATATCGCTTTCCTTAAAGCAAATGACGACCAGAGCGATAAAGTATCAAAAGGCGAGGCAGTGCCAAAATGCCCTTTGAAGAAACTCTATGTTTGATTTTTTTGCAGTGTGACCAGCCTCCAAGTGTTCAGATGCTTGGGAGGCCAGAGAAGTGGGGCATGGCTGAAGAAGGACTGTATGCAGCCCGGGGGGCTCTCCTTGAGCTTGGCTGCAGGGTCAAAGGCCCAGTGAGCCTCTTTTTTAATTTTTTTCTTTTTCTTTTTTTTTTGGAGAGGTTTTTGTATAGGGCGCGTGCACTCACCAGACAGACAGAGAGAGACAGAGAGACAGAAAGCGAGAAATCACCCTCCAGGGGGGATGGCATGCCGCAATCCTTTCTCTTCCATTCTCCTCTCGGGATCTGGGGCATGCCTGCACACGTGCCTGGCATGAGTTTATGCCACCAGGTTCGGGATGCGAACCACAGTCGACTACGTGGGAGTCCAGCGACATAGCCATTATGCTAACTGCTGGTCCCCCAGGGAGCCTCTTTGGGAGTGGACACATTTGCCTCACAGAGAAGAAGCATCCGAGGCCTGAGGTCCGGTAGATGGAATGTAAGAGTCTTCCAGAATTCCCCAGAAATGCTTTCAGCGTGCTGGACACCACGCCAGGGACCATCAGGGCATTCGCTGCCCCCAGCCACCCGGTACACAGATGTGATATGCTGCTTTACAGACGAGGGGCTGTGGACGAGTCATCGGCCAAGACCATGCATCTCCCTAAGGAGCAGGTGGGCGCCCAAGCAGCTTCAGGAGTCTGACTCAAGGCTTCGCTCCCCTTGCTGCCCAGGAGCATGAGATTAAAATGCTAGGAACAGGTGGAAGACTTCATACACACAGTAGGGATGTCAGTGAAACAGGCTGACAAATGAAGTAGGTGTCAGAATGATGTGCGTGCGTGCCCAAGATCCCGAGAGGAGAATGGAGGAGGAGGGATTGAGGCGTGGCCATCCTCCCTGAGGGGTGATTTCTTGCTTTCTGTCTCTCTGGTGAGCATATGTGCCCTATAGCAAAAAATCTAAAACAAACAAACAAAAAATTGTAATTCAGGTGCTTTCCCCTTTTCAAGCACAGGACGCAGAGCCGAGGACTGCCAATAACTCGTCTGGAGAAGCACAGTGGCTGAGCAGGACAGCCCTGGCCCTCTGCTGGCAATTATTCATGCTTGTGGTGTGAACGGACGCTGAGCCCTTATGCTCTCCATGGTCACTTCTCCACAGTTCCATGGGACCAGGAGTTAGCATAATGGCTATGTCACTGGACTCCCACGTAGTCGACCACGGTTCGCGTCCCAGACCCAGTGGCTTAAACTCACGCCAGGCACGTGTGCGTGCATGCCCAAGATCCCGAGACGAGAATGGAGGAGAAGGCATTGCGGCGTGGCCATCCCCCCTGGGGGGTTATTTCTCGCTATCTCTCTGTCTCTCTCGGTCTTTCTGGAAAGCGCACGCGCCCAATAAGAAAAAAATCTCTCCAAAAAGAAAAAAAAAAAGAAATCACCCCCCAAGGA